AGGCTTGCTGGCAGATATGACTTGTCGTAAAGACATTATTGTCAAATTTCTTATTATAGTATAGCAGGATACATTTTGATTGAATAAAAATTACTTCCTGTGTTACTCGTAATTGTTTGAAAAATACCATTTGTCAACAGACGTGTCATACTAAAGAATCGTATGATGATACATTATGTGATATATATAATTTACTTCAATCTTTTACTATTACTATAATATGAACAATTCAACTTTTTATACAAGACTACTTATTGTGATTGAAACGAATTTCCTATATAAACGCCATCGTTTTACTTGTAAAAATTATTGCAGTTCAGCACTGTATACACAGAAAACAAACCTTTCTTCACACTAAGCAAACTTTTGCCATAACCAACTAAAATGTCTGCTAATAATTTTGAGTTTTTATCCAGAGAAAAATTTGATGAAATTCTTGATACATACTTGAACGACCTACCAGAAAATCGGCGTGCGAAGGCAATTATATCGCAAGAAATGATGGATCAGGCAATTCAAATTTTTGATGACGGAAACACGAATCAAGACCCAAAATTTAAGTCTTGGGTACGAAGTAAATTTACCACCATGGTCATCGGAAACGCCAAAAAGCTTGTTGAAAAATCAAGCGCAAAGCCAGTATGCGCTAAAGAAAATCTGTATGATATTATTGGTAGCTTGCACCGCGTATTACAACATGCTGGCTATAAAAAAAGTTATGCTGAGGTAAATTAATGCCAAATTTGATATTCTTTGTTTTCCCGTGTTCGAATCACAGATGTCATTACATAGCGAATTAATTATAATGGATAATATATAATGCTTACTTCTAAAATTTAAATTCGTAGATAAATCCAATATAGCTATGTCCCACGAATACTAGTTGTTAAGTTTGTGAGTGCATGTAGTATTTGCACAACTAGACGTCCGCTCAGAAAGGCAGTATCAGCAAGGCCTATTATAGCGAACGAATTTTTGGCTCGTGTACAAGTAAGAAATAATTTAATTTATTTTCTCTTTTATTTCTTTTATCTTACTAAATTTTTGACTTGTTTTAAATAATATAAAATAGATCGATCATGAGGGGTCGTCCAGATGGCGAATATAAATACATTGTACACGCAAGAGACCATTTTACACGATTTTCATGGGCGACTGCTTTGAAAAACAAGGAAGCCATATACGTCGCGGGTTTCCTTTTTCAAATATTTACGCAGTTTGGGTCTCCTACAATTTTGCAGTCGGACAATGGCAAGGAATTTGTGGCTCAGATTATTCGTGATCTTGTCGGGATGTGGCCGGAAACACGCATTATCAATGGTCGTCCACGTCATCCGCAATCTCAAGGGCTAATAGAAAGTGGCAACAAAACACTTGAAATCAAATTGTCCGCATGGTTGGAAGACAACAGTAGGGAAGATTGGAGTGCAGGCTTATCGCTCGTGATATGTAAATATTGTCTTAATGATAAAAATATGAATTAAAATCAATTGTTATTAATTATGTTTGTGTACTTACAGGGGCAATGAATACACAAGTTCATCAAGCCACTAACGATTTGCCATACTGTCTTGTGTTTGCTCAACACCCAAGGAGTAATTTGACATTACTCAGCGAACTTGTTGAAAGAATGGGAATTAATGACGAAGAAGATATTCCAGACAATGTATACGTAGAAAATGGTGACGACAACGAAAACGGGGAGTTTGATAACATTGTTGAAGATATCAGTGTGCAAAGTACAGGCGAAACCACACCATTACCATCTACATCAATTCAGAATAACGAAATTCAGACACCACAGATAACTGAAAATGAACCCGGTTATTATTCTTCAGAAGATGATATTGACCTTATAGAAAAATATGAAACTGGATATTTTATTCAAGATTGTATGATGTACAAACCCTTCAGTATATTTCCACCACGTCAATATCGTGCGACATATGTATTCCGTTTAGATACATGGTTAAGATATACATTACAATCAACCTTTACTGAAGCGGATAGGACATTCGTTTTACGATGCCTGGACGATTTGAGGAAGTGGAATGATAACGAATCTGAAGATAGAGTAATTGAAGATGATGGTACATCGGAAATCTTTGAAACGTGGCCTGAGAGGATTAGACAATATGACGAACGCCAAATACGTAAGTACCAATTTATAGTCAATTATTGTTAATTAATTAAATCAAATTGACAAATGTTAAATTATGTAGAATCTGTTGAAAGCGAAACAGC